TTATAAATTAACTATCGAGCCCTTATTTTAATAAATTCATTTAATATAAAACTGTTATTCTATACTTACCGTTATGAGTTTCAAAATCGACCTAAAAAATAATAACTTAAATAACATTATGATTTCATATACAAGTAAACAAAAACAATAACTTTCTTTTTTATGTGCTTATTGGTACCTCTAAGGGTCCATAAGGATGTCCTTCTATGCATAAACCCAATATATAAATTTGTCAATTAACCGACCATCCGCATACCACGTCTGATAATGGGTGCCAAATATTATTGTCTCGATACATCGTCCAGTATGAAAGTGAGCCATATCTCTTAAACTCTTTTGGTATGAGACTTCTCAGCTCCGTCCGACTGAGATAATGTCCACAGTAGTATTCTCTATGTACCGGATTCGTCTACATTTTTTCAGGGTACCCAGTAAGACTTTCATGCATAAATTCACACAATTAACCAATTACTAGTTACATACTAATTTTTTATATTTATAGATCAACTCTAAGTCATGCAAATAGGCGATACGTATATTAAGAAACATGATTGAAACATTTATTACAAAACAAATCAACAAATGAGTGCTATTCAGTTAAGTAAACTAAATAATTGAGAAAGCAATTAAAACTAGTAATTTAATACACACAATATAGTAGTAAGCATTTTAAGCAGTACAAGAGAAAATAAACAGTAAACTAAGGCAAATATGTACTGACCGGTTCTGCATCCACCAGTGACATGTAATTATTTTTAAAGTTTTCTAATTTTCATAGAACACAGTATTATTGATTATTAAGTTTTAATTTACTGTAACCAAAAAAATGGTGAAAGATTTTTACTTCAAATCGGTATTCGAAATACTGTACTTTCCACTACGCCTCCTGGCGATCCCAGAATTTTTTAAATTTCTTTGGTGGAAATTAAAACATCCATCACGTATCCAAAAATACTCCAAAATGTCAAAATAGGCGTTGAAAATCCATTTTGACCAATTTTAGGGTCCGGCAAAGTGCCACCGTCATGCTTTGGCCCGGTGCCGTCGCTGTGCTCTGGAACTGCGCTGCTGCCCACGACGGCGGTTCGCCTCAGCCAGGTCAGTTTCGATTGGGCTATGCCAGTTTTGACCAGTTTTACATGTAAACTGCGAAAAACCAAGTTATGAGTCATCGGTTGACCGAAAAATGTAAAAAATTGAAACTCTACTGGCATAAGGTCTCTAGTTGTTGAGGCTCCACCGGTCCTCCTTCCCAGCCGAATTTTTTTTCCAGCTAACCTGCACCAAAAAAGGACGAAGAACATGATAGTAAAAAAATCATGCAAAACAGAAAACGGGAAGAGGGTCATCAGAGAGGATTTTGGGTTTTGGCCGCGGTAGCTTGGCCGAACTTTTCATTTACTGTAATAGAAAAAAAGGTGAGGGATTCTTACTCTAGATCGTTGGTTGAAACACCGTACTTTTTACTGCGGCTCCTGGCGATCTCCGAATTTTCTGAATTTTTTATGTAAAAATTAAAACACTCGTCACATATCCGAGAATACTTCAAAAGGTCAAAATAGGCGTTGAAAAATATTTTCAACCAATTTTAGAGTTTCGTCACTACACCGTCGCCGTGCTCCGGTGCCAGCTTCGCCACCCACAGCAGCGGTTCACCTCGGCCAAACCGGTTTTGGCTGGTTTTATACGTAAACATGCGAAAAATTAAGTTAGGAGACCCTGGTTGTTTAGAAAAGGCAAAAAATCGAAACCTTACTGGTGAAAGGTCTCCGGGTGTAGCGGCTCTGCCAAAATTCTCTTTCGCGGTCGGAGTTTTCTTTTTTGCGATTTTATTCTCCTGTTTTTAAATTTTCTTTCAAAAATACTTCTTATATTTCTATTTTTATCTATTTTTTTCAGAATTATTTTTAATTTCGTATATAATTTATTTTTTAAAAATAATTTAATTATATATATTTTATAAATTGAAAAAATCATTTCGAACTAAATTTTTGAACTCAGGTCTTACAAAATTTGTGACTTGAAAGTTCATATTAAATTTTTTATCCTTTTAAAAAATTTTAACTATTTTTTATTTTTAATATTTATTTACAATATATTTAAATATTGATTAATTTAATGAAAGACAAAACATTCATTATCCATTGTGTAGACAGTTTGGAAGCACAAAGTGAGACAAACATCCACCGTCCGATCCCAATACCGATGACCCCTCATTTATTTTATTATTATTTTAAATTAAAAACAAACAAATTATAATTATTAAATAATAAAATTTCCAAAATTAAGAGCAACATGTGTCGGGTAATATATATATAACCCCTTGAAATCTTTACCAAAATCGAAATTTACCTTCTTTTACGATATCGTGAAAGTGAAAACGACAAGACAAAGTCGGTGACTGACAGTAAAATATAATTAATTAATTAATTAATTAATACTAATAATAATGTTTGAACAATAAAATTAAAATCAAAAGTGGTCAAAGTCAACGGTGAGATGACGTAAGCATGTGAGGAACAAAAGCTGATAAAAGCCATCATGTGGTGTGTTACTTTAACGGCTCAAAAATTTGGTCTCTCGTTTTTTAAAAAGGTGTGTTTGCGTCAGCCTTTATCTCCCTTTCGCCCCTTTGCCTTATTAATTTATTAACTCTTTCAAAAATATTTTTTAATATTTTAAATAAATTTAAAAATTATAATATAAATAAATGATAATAAATTTTTTTAAATGAAAAATAAGCTTTGGTGAAATTGCAATAAGAAGATTGAAGGACCCACAATGCATTAATATATATATATATATATCTATACACGAGATAAATACAAAATATATAATTGAAAAAAATATGATTGTTAATATAATACACTAAAGAGTAATTATAATATAGATAATTAAGTTAATCAAAAGTTGGGGGGCATGCAATGCATACGGCTTATGATTTTGAGGGTTATGGCCATGAGCAGAGATATCAAACCCACTCTATATATATATATATATATATAGAAAACATTTATATTACATATATGTGAGTGTGTGTGTGTGTATAGTTGTGA